GCCCAAGATAACTTTTTTTTTTTTGGTAGTTTTTGGCTGGGGCTGGGTTTGAACCCATCACCTCTGGCATATGGGGTCAGCGCCCTACTCCTTTGAGCCACAGGTGCTGCCCAAGACTAAGGTATTTTGTATAGCACCCCAAAAGGACTAAGAGAGGGGCCTTCCAGATTCTTTCCTGACTTGAACCTTCTTTCTCCTCCCTCTAGTCTTCCCATCTCCACTCCCTGCCTCCCCAGTGTACCCATGGTCCAGACTGTCACAAACTCCTGTGTCCCAGAGCTTGCCATCACCCCTGTCTGGAAGAACCCTGTAGCCATATTGCTTTGGGACAGGTTAGGGCTATTGCAGACCCCCAACTGGGCTTTCATTCAGTCCTGATTCCCTATGCTCCCTGTCCCCTCTCCTCAGTAGCATTTCAAATGCATCCAGTATTCTCATCCCCCATTCCCCTCTCACTCCCCACAAGCAGGCATCTCTCTGCTGTTTTTTGGAGAAAATAGAAGCTGTCGCCTGGGAACTCTCATGTCCAGCCTCCAAACCTTCCATCCCTTGCCCACAAGGCAGCCTCTTGCTCTTTCCTCCTGTTTTGATGGAAGAGGTGCCCTCTCCTCTCAACAAAACCACCTGGCCTCCATGCTGTACCCTTGGACGTCCTGTATCCTCAAACTCCCTCTCCTCTGGTCCTTCCTTTCATATGCCAAAGGACTTGAATCTGCCCCAACTTAAAATAAGAAAACACCAACACCAGGCTGGGCTGGAAGCTCACACCTGTAATCCCAGCACTCTGGGAGGCCCAGGCAGGTACAGATTGCCTGAGCTCAAGAGTTCAAGACTGGCCTGAGCAAGAGCAAGACCTCATCTCCAAAAATAGCTGGGCATTGTGGCAAGTGCCTGTAGGCCGAGGTACTCAGGAGGCTGAGGCAAGAGGATCCCTTGAGCCCAAGAGTCTGAGGTTGGCTCGGTGCCTGTAGCTCAGCAGCTAGGGCACCAGCCACATACACCAGAGCTGGTGGGTTTGAACCCAGCCGGGGCCTGCCAAACAACAATGACAACTACAACCAAAAAATAGCCAGACGTTGTGGCAGGCACCTGTAGTCCCAGCTACTTGGGAGGCTGAGGCAAGAGAATGGCTTAAACCTAAGAGTTGGAGGTTGCTGTGAGCTGTGATGCCACAGCACTCCACTGAGGGCAACATAGTGAGACTGTCTCAAAAAAAAAAAAAAAAA